AAATTATCGTTTTAGATAAATTAACTTAAAAAAATTTATTAGTGAGTTTTAGATATCATTGCACATTAACTTGAGTACTTGTTTGCTGATATTAGAGGCCTAAGGTTTCTCCCCTTACTAGTATGTGATAGTTGCGCAAAGGGAAGCCTGTAAGGAAAATGTCTCTTTGCAAATTAATTGATGGCCTTTATCTCCCTATATTTTCCATTTCTTGTATGAAAATTGTCTGATAGCTTCTGTGCATCAACTCATGGCAGGAAAATACTATGTAATCACACCTAAATATTTATCTTGAGGCTGAGATGATGATGTGTGGTAAAATTACCTTTGTCATGTGCAAATCAGTCATTAGCTGCTACAGGCAAGTGCAATTCTTTTGAACCCCTGACTCCTTGAGAAACCTGTGGTAACATGACTACTATGATTATTCTATAGGCACACTCGTAGGGATGTTTTTACCAGGTAAGCCCTGATCATGTGGGGTTGACTACAAGATCTTTAATGAGGAATAAAAAGTTATTTATATGATTAAAATGGTAATCTCAACACAGTCTGGAAGATTCACTATGTTGTTCTCTGGGTTTGTTGGATATTTTTGCTCAAATGGACTTAGCCTACATGATCTTTAATGAGGAATAAAAGTTATTAATATGATTAAAATGGTAATCTCAACACACAGCCTGGAAGATTCACTATGTTGTTCTCTGGGTTTGTTGGATATTTTTGCTCAAATGGACTAAGCAATGATCGACAACGAGCTTCGGACTCACATGTTTCCTCCTTTCTGCAAGTTGCTTTAGAGCCTACAATCAGGTGTTAGTGGTTGCAGTTACCTGTCTTTGTCTTATTTTATGAGAGTTGTCGAAAAGCCAAAAAGTAGGGCCACAACTGTTTTAATACTGATGATTTTCCAAGAAACAGTTGATATTTTTTTTTATTTTGTTGGGTGGAGTCATCATATCAAGCAAGTTATTTAATATCGCTCTGCTAGATTTTTTTTTTTTTTGCCCTTTTGTGAATGGTTTCATCATCATCGACACGTACCATCTGTGACATTGGATAAAAAAGGTTTTACTCTAATGAGTAGTTTTACTAAATGATGGTGATGTCGATCTTGGCCAGCCCACATCACCCCTCACCAGCAATGAACGTGCGAAAACCTATCGCCTTAGTGAACCCTAACTTTGGGGAAAGCAATACAAGGCAGTAACTCCCAGGCAACAAGCCCTCTCTGCCTCACCGATGGATAAATCACCTGTTAATAATACAAGTAGATGGCCAGGAAACTCGACACAACTTCACTATTGTGATAAGGAACTTGCGACATCTGTAAGCAACGACGAAGCAAAATGCTCTTTTTAAGTTGGCATATGTCTGTAGACGTATCAAAGCTAAGTAAACAAAGAAAAGTATGATCACAATATGCACAGACATTAATGGTGAACATACTTCATTATCAGAGATCAAATGTTGTTTGCCAATCCAAAAGGCAGATAGCTCAAGGGAGGTTCAACCTACCACATGCAAGAGAAGAACCAAATCCAGAAAGGTGATACACTAAGATATGTGAGGATTGCACAAGCTTCAGCAATAAATTGCCATCAAATTTAGCTTCACATTGGGCCACAATGTGATGGCATCTGATTTCCAACTTGACATGGAAAATTGAAAATACTGGCATTCAAGCAGTTTTTTAATTTAAAGTGAAACAAATACAGAAAAATGAGGGTAAAATATAACAGTGTGATGGAACATATATGAAAGCAATGGAGAGCTATGAAACTTTAAGTGATGTAGTCAGAAAGAAAAATAAAAACAAGAATCATATGGTATGATCCAACCACAGATGCACAATAGTACAGCAAAAATGTAAAACCTAAAGACTGTTAACAAAGGTTGATGTCGCATGTGGACCACAGTATTAGACAGAAAGACTTGAAAAGATGACGAAGCTATTCTTTAACACTAACACAATATTTCAAAAAGAAATACTAGTCCAAGTTATAAAAATTTGTGTTTTACAAATAGCTACATAATGTGCACACTCCAAGTAGACGATGTAATTTCCATGTGCATCTTACCCATGCGCTTTGACTGTATTTGCTGTTGCATTTCATGGGATAGGATCTATTCAACAAACCGCATTTTTATAGACTTTGTGTCTCATATTATAAAATGTCTAAATCAAACAAAATATGTCTCCTTAAATGGTAGTTGCCATAGCCTAGAATGCAATACTAAACTTGTCCTGCTTGGGGAACCATATAAAATTTGATACTATAACAGAAACAGGAAATAAATTTGCACAAAGAAATCAAAGTGAAAGAAAAGAAGGGTTTTCTGAAAGAAAAATAAACCACTATTTTCACCCAATGATAAAGCGGCACTCCCAAAACTAAGAGCTATTTTCATCCAAACATGGAAAATGCAATGTTATGTTATGTATGCAATGGGCGCACTTCTAAGAGAACATCACATTGGCTTAGATGATCTTTAATTTACCAAGTGTCTTTAGATACATACTCATCCGCCAAATATTCGACTTACTAGGTTTCCTTTTCTCAAGAATGATATTTCCTTTCAAAAGCATCTTTGTTATATATGAATATTCATGCTTCATCATTGTTCCACAAGTATGTCCACAGATGATAAAAACTCAGCGAGTTGATTGATGATGAAGACACCTATTTCTTTGGTTTAAAGCTCCACAACATGCAGTTTTTTGAGATAATAACATACAATAACACATGCTTATTGATGTAACAACAATAAAAGCTACATCAGCAATAGGATACATCACACAGTAGAAACAAAGAACTGCTTAGAACCAAAAGTTCCGACAAGAGATTGGAAACTAATGCAACAAAACCATATGCAATTTAAACAGAGAGCACAAGCCCGCAAATCTAGCACACATATACACACAGACAGATGCAATCAATAGCAGCAAAACAACGCAACTATTACACTTTACTTTCGTTTCACTATGAGAGTCTGATGCTTTTACCGGTGGAAAGTCTTGCCACACCTTTCAGGATTGCCTTAAGACAGTTGGAACCTAGAAGAATAACAGGTCAATGTTGGAAAAAGGACGCCATAAATTTCACATTTAATCAAGTTCCAATCGCATCTCCGACAGTGAATGCAAAAGTAACTAAAAGCCCAGCCCATGATGGACTCAATGCAAGTATCCTGATTCAGACTCACAACGACTAGCATGATGACCACATAATGCAGCAAATTGTAATGAAAGCAACATGGACAAAAATGAAAGGGCAATTACCCACCATAATTCCAGCATGGCTACAACAACCTACAGAAGAACGAGCCCTAGCTCCGAAGGCTGTAAAGCACTCCTAAGCCGGTAGTTGTATAGATAGTAGTGGAGTTGTCCATCACCAGGCCCAAACTTCAGCTCCTTCAGGAAGACCTCATTGTGCATGAGATCAAGTGCATTGAAGACATCATAGTCCTTCTGCTTCGCCACGATAAGTGCATCGTTCATCAGCTGGAGCAGAGGAGTCCTCATAGCCACATTGTAATATGAATAAGCAGCCTTCAATCCCGAGTAGTTTGGGTTATTCAGAATCGAAGAAGGAAGAGAATAGAAGCTACAGAAGTCCGTCACTTCATGAGTCTCAGGGCTTTCAACCACAAAACTGTCGACCACATTCTCCAAAGGAAGAAGCCAATGCTCCACATCATTCTCGTCGAAATCTGGCGCAACCACAAACTGGCTCAAGTAATCCCTCAGCAGCCGGGTGACTGCTGCGACATCGCGAAGCTCCATCTTCCTGAACCCGGGTGTCACAGTTGCCTCTGGAAGCTTGTAAAGCCTGATCGTTCGGCTCATAGTCATCCGAGCTCCGAGGCGGGAGAACCCCACATCGATGAGTTTCTTTGGATTCAGCGAGCGATGCCAGTAGCGGCAGGTCGTGATGGGAGTCGGCAGGACGACCCCGGCTGTATAGGCTGCCTGCCAGATGTTCTCCAAATGGACCCGCCTGGTGACCTCCTTTATCATCACGGGGGCGAGCCGCTTTGAGCGTAGTTTCTTGTGGACGCAGAGAAAGTTGACCTCAGCCATCCGGACGACTTCATCCCGCACACGGATCCTGGCGGGCACGCCGGTGATGAAGGCGACGAGCTTTTTGGTGGCCTTCACGCGGACGCCGATGTGCCAGGCCTTGAAGTAGCCCGGCGGGCGGAGCGCCCACCGGAGGAACTCCTTGGAGTAGTTGAAGCGGAACATGTTCTCATCGTCCTCGACGTAGTTGTTGGTGAGAAGATTGTAGACTTCCGCGCAGGTTTGGTCGTCGTCGATGTCGCAGGTGGTCCACTCGTAGAGAGCGGGGAGGTTGTAGGGCTCCTGCTTGACGGCGGACACGGGGATCGGTGGCTCGATAGGACCCTCCGGGAGGCTACCATCACGGGCGTCCTTGAATTGCCCCACCGGCTGGGTCTCCCAGAATCGGTGCCGACTCCCGACGGCGAGAGCCTCCTGGATCCTGCGCGCCAGGGACTCGACCTCGCCGTCGCCCTCCGCCGCCGCCGCCGCCCTCGCCGGAGGGGCATCTGAAACTGGCTGCGGATCCGGGTTAGCCGTTTGCTCCTCAACGGGGGAGGAGGAGTCGTGTTCGCCGAGCACCATGGCGGAAACTTTGGATGGATTCGACAGAGATCGCAAAACGAATCTCAAATAAAGGAAATCGACGACAAGGGATAGATCACCTATGCGGATCGGCAGATCTCCATGGAACGAGCAAATCAGAGCCTTGATGGGGAGTAGATCGACCGATTAGGGTTTGGAGAGGAGCCGTCGAAGGAATCAGAGAGAGAGGAACATTTAGGCCGTTTTATTCTGACCGCTAAAGTAACGGGAGAATGACGATAGTATACCGGTTTTGGGCGAAACCTGTTCTTTTGTAAACATAAGACGGGCAAAATAACGCCTCCGAATAACTTACGTGCATCTCACGTGATCGACTCTATCGCCGCTCTATAAATAACGTCACTTACCTCGATACCCAACCCTAATCCAAAGGTTTGCATTGACGCCGCTCGTCTCTCGCCGCCGCGCTGAAGGAGCTGATTCACATCTGCCATGGGTGAGGGCGTTCGTTTCTCTTCTTCGATCTGCGAACTCTCGAGTCACACCTTTTCTTATTCTTGTTTTCTCCTTTTCATTGCCCGGTAAATCTTTTCTCAGGGAAGGTGCACGGATCTCTGGCTCGCGCCGGGAAGGTGAGGGGGCAAACCCCCAAAGTGGCGAAGCAGGACAAGAAGAAGAAGCCCAGGGGCAGGGCCTACAAGCGGATGCAGTACAACCGCCGGTTCGTCACCGCAGGTACCTTCCCTCCCTCCATGACCTCTAATTTTGATAGATAAGCTATCGATTATATGATTGTGATGCGTAAAAGTCATTCGGATATTTCTTGTTCTCTTGTAATCTTCAGTTGTTGGATTCGGGAAGAAGAGAGGACCCAACTCTTCCGAGAAGTAGGGAGACAAAGGTTTTCAGGAGAGAAGCACTTGGAGCATTTGATGTTTTCGTATTAAGCATGTAGGGCTTAGGTTTCAGGACAATGTACTGCTTATTTATGCGTGGTGATGATCCACGAATTCAACTACTTTGGATTGGAGTTGCTTTCTTGATTTTGTCGCATAAAGGATATAGGGTTTAGCTTTCAGTATGTTGGACTAATATATGCATGGTGATGATCTATTAAATGTCTTTGATGATATGCATTTTCTTGGAATTTAATGCTATCAGTGCTTTTGAAACTTCTCATATTTGCTTTAGATTTGGTGCCTTGGATTTGTAGGGTGTCTACTTTTCACTGGGGGTTGGAGTTGCTTTCTAAACTGAGCCTATTCAACGTCTTTGATGATATTTATTTTCTTGTGAAAGATCTCATCGTTGCTTTGGTTTTGCTGCCTTGGAATGTAGGGTTTTATTTTCACTATTTTGTTTTCAGTTTCATGTATTGGCGTTATGTGACATTATTATATTTATGTCTTTTATTAAATGTCTTTGATCATACACATTTACTTCAAACAAATTGTATTCTTATTTTGCTTTGTTGGAAATATTGATGTGGTGAAGAATTAGGGAATGTACCGTTCTAAGAAAACCATAGAAGTAGGAGAAGACAATCGATAATAAAGGTATAAAAATATGTGAGATAAAAAGAGATATTGTAGTTTATTATCAATAAGGATTGAAAGTGTTGTCTTATGTCCTGTGACTTGTTAAGTTGTGGGGAGTTTTTGGTTGCATTGGTGTGTTAATTTTGATGAGATTGATTAAGATCCCATTGTTAATGGATTTATGATATGCTTTGTTTGTCATTCGTTGGTTGTGAAATCCTTGCCAAATATTGCTATGGGGAAATTGACGCTAGAGATTATGGTAGACTTTGCGTTGAACTACTAAAGTGTAAGGAATCTTAGGTGAGAGCTGTTCACGTTATTATCGTTGTGGGTTTAAATTTTGGGTAAATAGGGGGAAAGAGAATTGTAATTGGAAGTGGGAAGAATTGAAAATGGAGCACGCACCTCGGTTCGCGGTGTAAAGGAACACCAGCCTTTGAGTTGCTTTGCGTTGCCAAAAGTGAGGTCATCGCATGTGTCGACGTTTTGAGTCAACCCAGTTTCGAGGGCGTAGTAGTGTGAGGTATCGAGCTTTTAAGGCATCATTTGTGCTCAGTTCGATGCGGGGAGAAATTTGATTCATTCGTTTCCTTGGGCATTCAAGTTAGTGATCAGGGTTTTTTTTTTTTTCTGTGGAGATTAACTTTTATAAGGGAATAATTTATAATCATCTTAACATTTCTCTCTTGATGTTTTATCAATGTGGACAGCACGAGGGAGATAGCTGTGAATAGTTGTTTTAAATTTTTGTCCACGTTGATAGAGGGATGGAGAGTGATTTAGATTTTTTTTTTTCACAATAGTTTTCACATGATTATATGTCAGATGATAGATATTCCTTGTCATATGTTCTCTCCCTCTCCTTAATAAGGTGTGTTTCTGGGTTCTTGTTAGAGGGCTTTCTTGACTCATACATCTTGGGCGTATTTCATCTTGAGACGTCATGGTGGATTTTTTTTGGTTCGAGTCGGGTTTCCTGACTCATATACCTCGGGCGCATTTAGCCTTTGGTTATCGTGGTGGATTTTTTTTTTCTTGCTTAAGCTCTAACTTCACTTATCAGGGCGAGCCCAAATCAAAGTTCCTCTTTGGAGGGTTTTTTTCGTCAAAGCTCTCAATCCATACTAAATGCCAAGTTGAATGGTGATTTTTTCAAGCTCGTCTTTAGTGTCGTATAGGAGGCTCACAGAATGCTTAGTAGCTCATCCACTTAGGTATCCTTTGCTCCAACAATCCTCTTCTTTAATCCTTCAAGAATGGTTCGGTTGGTGATCTTGATGAGACTATTGGTTTGGGGTTGAGCCATCGAGCTAAACCTTAGTTGAATCTCGTAGGATTGGCAGAACTCGTTGTTAAATCGACTCTCATTGTTGGTGATGAGGGTCTTCAGAATTTCGAAGCGGGTGATAATGTTCTTTTACACGAGGTCCATGCCTCATTAGGTAAAGGGTCATGTGCAATCGATCAAGCTTAGAGGGACTATCGAACACCTATGACACCTCTAGACATAGGTGATTGCATACTTGTATAATGTCGACCAGTAGAACCTCCGTTGAAGCACGTTGAACGTAAAAGTCTGCCAGTAAAGGGTCACGTTGACCAGTAGAACCTCTGTTGAAGCACGTTGAGTAAACTTCTGACACCTATGACACCTCTAGACATAGGTGATTGCATACTTGTATAATGTCGACCAGTAGAACCTCTGTTGAAGCACGTTGAACGTAAGAGTTCCTTATATATGGAACTCTGAGTCCGTTGCAACCATGAACACATTGCGTTTTTTCAATGATTTTAGTATATAGCATCTCGATCAACAGTTATACCTCGTCAAATCTTAGACAAATAATTATACAAAAAAAAATTGTATACAATTATACAAACAATTATAAACCCATGTGCTGCTCGGCATAACCGCAGTCGACCTATAGATGGATAGACAAAATCGTCAAAAAAAAATTATTTTGGCCCCATAAGGTTGACACGTTGCGATGATCGTAACACAAGGTTATTCCCTGCACGACCGAAAGGGTAGCTTAGATCGCACGGTGATGCAACAAGATCATAAAAAATGTAATTGTAGACGTCTTACTATTATCCTCTCGTCCGGCAATCAATCCCCTAAAGATCGACATGATTTACGTTATAGCTAACAAAGTACAAATGAAATATACACAATACATGTAGCCAAACCGGCAGCCATTCCCACCCTAATGTTGATTCAGGTCAAGAAGTTTGATCTTTAAGATCTTAATTTCTAATGAATTCCAACCTCCCTATGCGCATCATTTTACGCAAATGTTTAAAAAGAAACGATAGGGCATTTTTAACACACTTGCATGTTCCAGTCAAACAGATTCGCATATTTCATCCGACTCGCAGACAGATTTCTATTTGGCTTTAGACATTTGATCAAATTAAGATATGCTAAAACGACATCATCAACCATCAGATAACGTGTTGCGTTTCTGTCGAGAACAGACGAGGCTGGTCAACGAAGCAGTCGTCACCACACACCCGAAGCACCGCATAAGAGAAGCTCAACCAATGAAGAAGTTCTTCCATGGAAATAAACGATCATGCGATGCAAACGAAACACACATCAACCATAGCAAGACTTACGGCACACTCATCAGAACCCCAACCATGAGTTGGCAAGGTCTTCAATGAGTGAGCTTAAAGTACAGGATCACCAGAATCGCCAGAACCAGAGCCACCATGATTCCCCCGATGATCCACTTGTTCCGATCCATCCTTCTTGACATGGCAGTCAGGATCTTCCTGCTCTTGCTGATGTTGTCGTCGACTCCATGCAGCTGCAATCCAACACGAACTAAGAATCATCACATATCATCGTACATCATATGCGGAATAGAGAGCTTTTGTTCATTGCATGCAGAATAGATTCTGCAGAGCCCTTTTGTTTTCCTACATCTACAACAATGGGCTAAAACAACTTACTGGTGAAACACAGTCTTCGCCTAGAAAAGGTTGCAAAAACAGACTTCAATGGAGGATGGAACTCCAACAAAGCAGATTAAAATAATCATCGGCCACCAACCTAGCTGGCATTGTCAACCCAGGGATTCTACTTGATTCCCAAATGTAACACCCGTGAGTTGATCCCTAATGCAACACTGATGAAGTCTACATTTTGTCAGGTAAATCCCTAATTCACAATGATGACGTTAAAGCAACCCGACGTTTGGATTTTTCCAACACTAAAAATCTACCAAAGGCATCCCACCATACAGTTCTTAAAAACACCTATTCTGGTTAAATGCATTAGTGAAAGCCTACAACACTTGGAAGGAGTGTTCATGCCCCTCCAGGTTGTCCTATCCAATGTGAAAGAATTTCATATTAAGTATCCTTTTTAAAAGTTAATTTAACTCTCAAAAACCATAGCAGCTTGCTTTCATGATCATGTAAAAACTACAGCATGTTGAAGACAAGAAGTATCTACGTGGATGTCTGCCATTTGTCTGCCAATGACTGATCAACTTAACAAGCCAAAAACCCCTTGTATAATATATAAATGAAATCAAGGAATTTTCTTGAAAGCAACATATTCTAAGAGTGCATTGTGTGTGTAATCGACATTTCTAAGTTCACCTTTTGGAAATATGTTTATGATTTAACTAAAATAACCAACACAGTCCCTAGGAACTGCTAAAGCATTTATTCAATAGATCATATTCAGAATTTGGAAGAACTAAATTTCAAAAACTTTTGCACTGGAGAAAGTTTTGGATTTGCAACACATGTTTCCAGATAAAGTCATTTATGTTTGTAATCCTTGAAACCATTGGCACTTAATTTCCCTCTGTTCAGCATTAAACCATAAAAACAAATATCACATGTGGCAAGTATTAGATGATTGATGAAAAGCCAACCCCAACTACGGCAGTCATGAACTACATTTATGACATCAATTTCAGCTTATGAATAAATATCATTTCACTAGCATGCACTAATCCTAGCCGGAAAAAAGAAACCAAAATTTTTTTACAGTCTCGAATTTTATGATTCACCGTCAGATTGGTTTGGACTGTGATTTTCACATAAACAAGCATTAAACTATTAATGAAACTGATATGATAGATTAACTCATAGATAAAGACCAAAAAGTGATAACAAGAAAAATATCATTAGCAAAGAAACATACCGTGTTATGGGCATGCAAGAGAGATTGCCGTTGTTGATGTAAGTCCTGAAGAATTGAAACACCAAGTTCTTCTGTCTCTAGCATCGTCCTTCTACCCTCCTTTATCCTGTCAGTAGACTGATTAAGTCTCTCTGTTGACATCAATAGCCGTCCCCTTTGATCAGCAGAGACCTGCAGCATAAAATATTCCAAATATAATGGCATATACAGTCGGAAAGGTTTGAACATTTTGCACTTAATAACCTCTAATGTCTGATAAGCATGTTAACATGTTGACAAAGCACAAGTAAAAATCATTTTGTACAGTTCAGTGATTTAAAAAGCGCTAAGCGCCAAAAAACGACAAGGTCCCAAAATGCCCGAGACACTAGGTGCTCATCCAAGCGTTTGCTTGAGTGAAACGAGATGCTCTAAAATATAAAAAATATATAATATAATTAGTAAAGGGATAAAAAATATCACTGACAGTGGAAAGTAGGTAGAGAAGCAATGGTGGCAGAGGATTAGTCTAAGACAGCTGTGGCAGCGCTGCGAACGACAGTAGTGGACAGCAGCAACGGTAGCGAACAACAACAACAGCGAAAGCAACGGGAGAAAGACTTGGTCGGCGATAGAGAAATATTCAGTTCGCTACGTCTGCAGCGGAGGCAACGGCAGAAAGTGTCGGCAACGGAGGCAGCAGGAGAAAACACAAACTAGGGTTGGCTTGGGGAGTCGGGGTCGCGTGCAGCTTTTGAGGTAAGGAACTACATGCGTTACTTGGTTCAATCGAACCAACTAACTGCTATCGAACTAAACCAGACTTAAAAGTCGAGTTCGGTTGCCTTATATGAATCGCGGGCTAGCCCGAAGCGCCCGGCGCCTAGGCTCGGGCGAGCGCCCAGGCGGCGCCTCATTGAAGCGCGTCACCTGGTCCTCATATGAGGTGCTTGAGCCTCGCTATGACTCACCCGAGTGCCTGGGCGAGCGTTAGAGTGCTTATTTAAATCACTGGTACAACTTGAGGCTAAGATATGAAACACCCATAGTTACATAGATCCACATCTCATAATATATATGCTACTATGTACTCGATAAATTCGAACCTACAAATCTATTGATAACGTGATTCTCTTTCTCTAGAAACAATGCAGGTATCATTAAAAAAAACAAGGATAGAAATACCGCTACTCTAGCAAGGGACCATTCTTGATATATCCACCATAATTGCCACCAACCAGGCCCAAACTACAACATCCAAATCCACCAAGTGAAAATCCAGCAATTAGGTTTAGGTGAAGTATTAATTATTCTTTTCTTCTATGCCAGACACCTTCCAGCTCCATGTCATCTCCAAATAGTCAGTTATGCACATCACATTGTTTTAGAATTTAGAGTACACTTCCAACCTAATGTGTATAACCCGTACATAAAAAGGGATTCAGCTTTTTTTTCCACTCTTTCTTCTTCATAGTGTTCAATAACATTCAATTTCACAAAGGCATGATGTAAAAAAAACAAAAAATTAAAATGGTGACGAAAAACATGGAAAACAACTTTCTACCATAAGTTTTTATTTCACCTCATATGAGTTGACCTAGATTAGTCTTATTTAATTCTTACTAAAGTATTGACATTTTTGAAGCTCTTGATTAATCTCACCCATTCATAGAGTCCAGTGCTGCTAATTGGTTAATTGCATATAGATACAAAAAAAATACCTATACTTGGTAATTTATAATGCAACAGGTTTTTCCTTCTTCCAATTGCTTACTGTGTAGGGCTAACTACCAAGGCAAGAATAATGAATTGCCTAAATATTAAAAAATTCCAAGAGCGAGTTGGAAACAGCATAGAGACAACAAAAAAGTTAGGATCGCAAATAGGTGCCCTATCGGCCTGTTGGTCCCAGATACCAATGTAACAAATCACAGAATTAGAAAAAGAAACAAAGTAACATATAATTGCATGGCTAGTGGATTAACATGCATGCGGTGTGGTGCCCAAACTCTAATAAGTGTAAAACAAGAGTACGAGGCCTGTCATACCGCTATCATGTCAGCCTTCCCCGACTCCAGCAGCTCTTCCCTTGAAGCTTGGGTAGGATTAGGGGTGGTAATTCTTTTCAGTTCACTCTTCAAGTTGTTAAGGTCTGATTTGTATTCCCTCAGCTTTGCCAGCAATCCTGCCTTTACACTTGGCTGCAAGCTTCTCGCTTCAAGATCCATCTTCCTAATCTATAAAAGCAATCCTTCAAACGTTTCAGGATAAAGATCTTGCTTATGAATGTAGCAAGTATACCAATCGGGTACATTACCAAATTTTCTGCATCATCCAGGCCAGCTTTGATTTCCGAGACCTTCTGCTTCTTTTTCTCTGCCAAAAGAATCCATTTTTTTGTTCAAAACAATTAGATCAGAAATAATTGTTCACGGCAAAGGCAATGGGAAAATTAACAGTAAATTCGCTAATAAAATAATGATACCTCCATCGAGATGAGCAGCAGATGTGCATTTACGCGAGAGAGACGCCGAGATCTCACAGTATTGGCGCTCGTAACCATCGAATACCTCGCTCATCGTGATCGTACGCTGCTAAACCCAAGTCGACTCCAATGTCTAAAACATATTAGCAATCTTACCAAAGGGGAAAACGCATTCATCACATAAGCCTAGTGATCAATGAATCCTGATGCGTGAGAACCGATAATTATCCTGCGTCAAAAATCCTAACCCTAGAAGGGCAAAAAGAGTCCTCAAATCCAAGGACGACGTAATCGAAATACAAGAATTCGACTGCAAGAAGAAAAACCAAAAGAATCTGGAAATTAAACCAACAAATGAAGATCGTGGTAGAACTTATTGAGGAATAGTGAGATGAAACCCAAATCGGAGAAGAAATCCACGAGAATGGCATCAACCAGAAGGGATAAAACATTGAATTATTCAAGAGACTAATTACTGATACAATTAAGAGTCATCGGAACTTACGGCTAATGAAGGACGGGGGCGACGATGGAATCGGAACCAGGGAGAGAGAGAGAGACGGAGAGGAGAAAGGGTAAAGAGCCCGGACGCGAAGAAGGAGAAGGTGGCATCGGATCGGGGACTCCTCTCTTGTTATAGCCTCGCGTTGCTCCGTCTCATTCGCCAACGATCAGCCATCTAGGCTAAGCCGCCATCCAGCAAAACGCGCCCCTGGGTTCCACCACATCGATCTCTCTGTCTCTTTGTTTTTGGGTCCCACGCTTAAGCTAATGGATAAAAGGCGTTTTTTCCTCTTTGGTAATTGAGCCAAGACGCGAAAGCCGCCGCACCCATTTGGAGACACGCACTAGTGCGCCACGTCGGAAAAAAGAACATAAATGTCTGATTTCGTCGCATCGATTCACCCGAATACAACAACATAATATTTATGTAACGTATATATTTAGCACCTTAAAAATAATATATATACTTTAAAAATAATATATTTAGCACCTTAAATTTATTAATAAAAAATCAGATAATTAAAACAGATAGTAAAAGAAAATGTTTGTAGGCTAATTATTAAAATATTCATGCTTTGGTCGATCTAAGTATTTGTATTGGTAGATGAAAATATTGAGCTTGATTGATATAACTATACTTTACATATAATGTTTAGCTAAGCGTAGGCGTTCGTTGAGAAACCAGATTATATTTGAAGCAAAAGGCAGCTGGATATTATGTCGTCATGATAATTCAGAACTTACAATAAAATAACATCTGATTAACACCTATATATATCACTATTACAAGCCATAATTTTAGTATATCATGAAGTTTAATCGCAGGACCGACTATTGAGAAAGGGCCATTTACATACTTAGGCCTCAATAATCGAGCATGAACGTTGTACACAATTACATGGAATTAAATGAACTTGTCATATTCAAATTTCTCCAGCCTTCAGCAGTATATTTGCATCGCAGGAGAAGATTGCTAAGCAACTTCCTTAGAGAGTAGGAACAATTTGCTAACATAATCATGGTTTTTCATGTCCACATCAGGCACTGAATCCCCTGTGGAGAGAGCTCCAGCGGTTGGAGGGGACAGCGGTGCACGCTTGAGCAGCCACCTCGGCCATCGTCTCCTTGCTAACACCGGCATTGCAGATGTTCGCCAAAGACCGCATATGTTTCATCCCATATTGCGATAGAGATCCACAGTGGCTTTCGAAAGTCCTTACCTGGAAAGAAAAAGAGAAGAAGCATCAGGTCATTGTGTCACTAAATTGTACCTCGCTGTATTTGCCCAAAAGAGCTGGATAAAACACACCGATTGATTTGCCAGTAAAATATCCAACACAAGAGGCTTAGCTTAGATAAAAAATTGTACCACGTCTAACAAATACGATACTGACACGTAAAGCCTCAAGGATGCCCAATTGCTAATAACATTATTAACGCTATTTTCTTTTCTTAATTCAAGACAAGAACATGTATAAAGGCCTGTCTAGAACATGACGTTAACATTTATAAGAACCCTCATGACAACTTCCATGCGAGCATACAATGCAAAAAATGAAAGGCCAAACAATTTTAAACCAGTCAGACCGAAATTTTTCAGAAGTAAACCAATCAGTCTACTCACCATTGACTTGAGGCAGGACCAGTCATCCACTAAAGGTTGGCCTGCAGTTCGAACAGATTTCAGCAATTCTGACGCTTTCCCAGAACCAAACAGCAGCTTCCCAATGAGTTCTATACTATTATCTATATGCAACCGATGGGACATTACTTCGAGCAAATCCTTCTGAGCATTGAGTTTATGAGAAGAGCCTTCGGGCGCCCTCCGATACTTGAATAAAGAAAAGAAGATTTCAGTCATAAACAAATGAAGAAATAAGAAAATGGTCATAAACATGAAATTTTGCTGATCCAAAACCATGTAATGTGTGCAGAGACCAAAAATAATCAGAAGAATTAACTACAAGCAAACTACAGATAAAGGATAATGCCAACCTTATGCCAGAAATAAACTAGATCTGCATCCCGTTGGTTCACAGCAGCCTTTGAAAATGACAATAATGAGTTATCATCAACGAATGTGGCATTTTCATTTAAAGGATTTGAACCCAAGTATAAGAAAAGGTCTTTCATGTTGAGTTCTAGATCCCCATATTGCATGACATGTGAACCAAACCTATATGTTTCAGAAACTGCAGTCCTGGTCTTGACCTGCAAACACCATTAGAACAAGTATATCAGACCCAAAGGCCATCCAGACAGGTGATATGCAATAAGGAAGCAGAATCTCAAGCACTTACAAGATGATACTGCTGCTTCAATGTTTCAGTCCGCAGATTGTGTATATCACTGCACATGAAAGTAAAACTTAAACTTCAGATATACAACAGAAGCCACATGAGTCATTTCTCCATTTAAATCTTAAGGAAAGATACAGAACCTCAGAATTCAATAAAGGAACCTAACCAAACAATTTTCATAAATTCAAGCTAATCCATATTAACATGGACAAGATTAGGATCATTCCTATTCTTGGTTTTGGTTACAAAATCTTCCAACTTTATTAGTTATACTATAGAACCACAGTTCTTTAATCTACTTAACCATCACAGTCAAATGCTGCAAGTTGTAAAAATTACTTGGACAAATCCAAAAGGGAAATTTTAGTTGATTTACATTAATGCCAAACAGAGGTGAAAACAGAAACAGAACAAAAATTTTGTTGCTCAAGTATTACTGTTAGAAACTTGTACCTAAAAAAAGAAATCAATTACAAGAATTAACAATACATCTCTCAAGTCTCAACATATATATATGCCTCCAGAAAAATAATTTATAATTTATTTTCACATGAAAAGGTAATATAACCTGTAAATATCTTTTATAATAAATACATATCTGAGAAGGATATACCAGAAATGTTTGTAAGTTTTTAATTGCATAAATTAAGATTTTAATGATCTATCAATAAAAAAATCTTAACCAAATTTCATTTAATAGATTTGGTTCATGCACCTGTCCTCCATCCAAGCAATGCTGTACAAGTCTCCCAAGCAGGTATAGTACTCTTGGGGAGGGCTAGGGTCTTCTCCAGGGCAATAAGTTCCCCAACTACTCTCGTAGGCATTTGATGCTGTGGTTGCATAGATATTTATGTCTTCAGGGAGAAGACCCTCAAATATGCTCCCAGATTCACAAGCTTCAAGATAAAATACCTGAAACAGTAAAGCAAAAGAAGGTTTTCAAACTTGGCAGTTCTATGCAACTATGAGATGTAAAGAAATCTTACCATGCTCTTGTAAGATCCAGACGCGTGCTTTTTCTTTAACACAGAAATCAAATCATCAGCATAAAGGTAAGGATTGGTGGGCATCCCTGCAAAGTTTCAGTCAGTCTAATGCTTTTCAAAATTGCAGATTTTATTAACATATACTACAAGTAACAATAAACAATAAGTTAGTAACCCGTTCTCCCCGTGATATTATCTAATGGTACTCTCTGGTTAAATGGGAAATTCTCAAATGAAACAAAGAAGAATTTTGCTTAATATGATATAAAAGTATTACAACCATCAAAATCATGGCTATTGGGTTAGATCAAACTTTATAAAAAGCAGAAACTATGATTGTCTTTAGAGCATGCAATCAGGAAAAGGAGAACAAGAGGGAAGTCAAGTGTTATCCATATGGTATGGGTCAAATTTCTTGACAAGCAGAAAGAATAATTTCCTTTCGAGCAAGAAATTAGGAAAAATTAAAAAAATATATCATGTAATATCTACTATGTAATGGCTTGATATCAGCTAATCAAGTTACTAACCAAGAACCCCAGGTCCACCATGATCAGAGTAGAATATGAAGATATGATCATTTGGACCGCTATCAACAACCTTTCCACTTCCTCCAGTTAGAGCAGTTTTATTTCCAAGAAGAACAGCAAAGAAGTTGTTCACATTGACATCATCTCCAACATAATCCTGCAAGGAGTTATATCCCCAGACTTAGACAATGAATCACTGGTGAATGACACAAATAAAAGGTGAACTATGATACAGTGTGCACCTTTGGAACTCCAGCATAAACATCCCCACCCTCTGGGTGATTGATAATGGTCCCCAGTCTAGGATTATCCTCACTGTATGCAATGTCATCATACATGAAAACAATAATATTCTCATCTTTCAGTCCACCATTCTTCATGATTTGATATGCATGACAAATATCTGCCTGAGTTCATGTTTAAAATGAGAAGTGTTAGAATATTCACAAAAGAGATGGGATTCTTGAATTTTTTATTAAAGATAAATAAATTTTGAAAAGGGATGTTCTCTGCCAAGAACAAGGATCAGAAGGCACAAAGTGCAGAGCTAAGGTGAATTTGCATAACAAGAAGAAAGGGACATAAATTTTAATATTCCAAAATCTCCAATCAGAACCAAAATCACTATCTCAGTTTTTATAATTGAGACGAATTATTTAAGTATTTCAGCAGACAGCAAAAAAATAGAAATTATAACCACCTTCCATATCATCAAAAAGATTGTAGACAATTTGAACTTAGTTTATGCTCAAGAGTTTCATGTACCAATGAAACACAAAAAGAAAGCAATATAAGATTTACCACATCAAGCTTGGACAAAAAGAAACCTTGAGTGAACAATGTTTGTGATATGGCATTATATAGAAATTCTAAGTCGTAAGCATCTGACAAAAATATAACAAAATGAGACTAGGTTTCACCTAAAGCTCATAGAAATTTTAACTAATGTTGTTGATAGCTAAAGACAACACACAATCTTATGTCACCTAAAGCTCACAGAAAGAAAAAGGAGAACAAGGAAATAGTTAACCAGTAAAATTGCAATACAAACCATGTAATACGTGCAAGCTGCATAGGCAAAGCTGATACAAAGAAAGAAAGAAAAAAAAAAAAAGCAAAGTCAAAGGGATTAAGAAGTCTGGAAACAAGGAAAAATTGAGATTCCAAATAATCATACTAAAGGTCATAAAAGAGACTTCTCTACAAGTGCTTCCAAGATGCATTTCGAATATCCGACCCCACCATACTTAAAGAAGTATCACTCATTTCTCCAAACATATTATGCTCCATGTGTG